TGAGTCAAATGTTTCAACTTGGGAAATTGGGAATTTTCATTCAAAACATTTGACTCACTAATTCCCAGATTGTGGGAAATTTCCCAGGATATAAACGCCTCCAGCCACACACTGCAAAGCCAGAGACGTGACCTCCTCCCCTTGGGCGGGACCCAGGCCAGAGCGGGGACAGGTCCTCCCCACAGCGACCTCCCCTGCCCAGGGGCTGTTCCCCCTCACTCACGATGAGTGCCCCACACCCACCGCACGGCCAGGTCCTGTCCGCATGGGTTCGCCTGGCTCAGCCCGGGGCACCGCGGCCCCTGCGCCCATCACCAGGGGGTTTACCCACAGAAGCGCCCACCCCAATCACCCTGTTTGTCCTCATCTGCATAAATTGACACCTTCACAGCCTGGCCCCTCCCCCTCCCCACAGCCCCGCCCCACAGGGTCAGGGGTCACCGTGCGCCAATCACAGCACAGACACGGAGCTGAGCAAAGCCACTTTATTGAGTGCAGTGGGGGGCGGTCGGTGCCCCAAGGGAGGGGTCAATATCTCCAGGGGGCAGATCGGTGTCCCGGGGGGGCATCGGGGGGTTCAATATCTAGGGGGGAGGGTCAGTGCCCCGGGGGAGGTCGGCGTCTCGGGGGGCTCTCGGGGCAGGGGGTCACTATCTGGGGGGGGTCAGTGCCCCGGGGGGGTCGGTATCCTGGGGGGGTGTCAGGGAGCGATGTCCCGGGGGTATCAGGGGGGTCAGTATCCGGGGGGTCGGTATCCCAGGGGGGTCAGGGAGCGGAGTCCCGGAGGGGGTCGATATCCCAGGGGGGTCGGTATCTCAGGGGGGTCAGGGAGCTGTGTCCCCTGGGTTGGTATCTTGGGGTTCCAGGCCCCCCCGCGCCAGCCGCGCTCAGTCGACGTCCATCCCGGTCACCGTCTCATCCAGCAGCTGGAGCCGCAGGGGGGCGACGGCTTCGCTCAGCACCGCCGTGGTCCCGGCCCGGTACCGGTACCGGCCCTGCCTGTGGGGGTGGGGAGTCAGCCAGCGCCTGGCTTGGCCCCCCAGCACCAGCCCCCCACCTCCCCAACACCCTCCACCTCCCCGACACCCCCCGGCACCAGCCCCCCACCTCCTTCACAGCCCCTCGGCACCAGCACCCCATGTCCCCGCCACCCCCCGGCCCCAGACTCCTGGGTCCCCGCCCCGTCTATCCCCAAACCTCCCCTCCACCCCAGATTCCTGGGTCCCCGCCCTATGCCCCCCTTGGTGCCCCTGGGGTCTCACCTCTGCCCGCGGGGGATGGGGGTGCGGAAGGGGCGCAGGGTCTGGGCCCCCCCCCGGGTGATGACGCACAGATCCACGTTGCTCCCCGAGCCCAGGTCGCTCAGTACCCCGGCCGTGATGGCGTCGGCCAGGAGCTCCTGGGCCTCCGCCAGCTGGGGGGAGAGAGGGGTGAGCCCGCCGGCCCGGACGCCTGGGTCCCACCCCCTACATCCCCCACCCGGACGCCTGGGTCCCGCCCCCACATCCCCCTCCCAGACTCCTGGGTCCCCACGCCCACATTCCCCACCCGGACGCCTGGGTCCCGCCCCACATCCCCCACCCGGACACCTGGGTCCCCGCCCCCACCCGGACACCTAGGTCCCACCCCACCTCCCCCACCCGGATGCCTGTGTCCTTCCCCTATCCCCACACACCCCGCCCGGATACCTGGGTCCCGCCCCCACATCCCCCACCTGGACACCTGGGTCCCTCTCCCACATCCCCTGTCCGGATACCTGGGTCCCTGTCCCACCCCCACATCCCCTGCCCGGACGCCTGGGTCCTTGCCCTTCCCCCACACACCCAGCCTGGATGCCTGGGTCCCACCTCCACACCTTGCCTCACTCTCCCCAGATTCCTGGGTCCCTGAAGCCCCCCCTCACCTCCATGTCTGGCTTGAACCGATCCTCAAGAACTGCAATGGCTGCCGCGGCCCCAGAGCCTGGGAGGGGCAGGGAGAGGGGTCAGAGCCAGCCCCATAGACCCCCCCCGACACCCCCAGCCCCTCCCCTGCTCCCCCACAGACACCT